GTTTGTCTTTGATAGAGTTTGCCTTTGACTCAGGCACATTAAAAGCATATTATCTCCATCGAATTATGCGTCTTCGTGGTTTTGAGTAAGAGAGTGCTTCCTTTTACTGGATGCTTGGTGGGCGGTCTCCTCAGAGGAGAATTCGTATTCGTGTCGTTTCTAAGACTTTTTGGAGTGGTTGCAGACATGCCCTCTAACTTTGCCTTCAGTTTGTTTGCAAAAATGACGGAGGGATATGTTATCAAACTTTCGGTATTGTTAGATAAACCTGAATGCAATAGAGTATTATGGAACACAGACATACCACCCGCACGAACTAATCTCTACAATATTGCAGCCGCCGGAATTGGCCAAACCTGGTTGCCTGCCTCTTTGCTAGTTCTCAAGTTTTGGGATTGCTGCCTTTACGCTATTAACTATACACTGGATTTGGCTATTCTGTTCCAAGTTTGAGCTTATATTTAGGCAACGAGAATCGAGTGCGGCTGCAGCTAGGTGCGATGCGACCACTATACCCCTCGTCGCACGCTGCACCATCGCTGTCGGTTTGTGAGCTTTCTGTGCCAGTAGGACGATGCACCTTAATAGTGGCTTGCTCAATGCAGAACCAAATGGAATCTGGTGTCCAATACTGTTCTTTCACTTCCGCTGCACTTACATTTACGCACTTAGGATGGAATATATTACCACAGGTACTAATTTCATCCCACTTCCAATAGTCTTGCAGCACCGTTTCGAATCGCAAAGAACCTTTCTTTGCGACTGAGTGGATCGCATACACACTGTGCTCCTTGTTGCTATGTTGCAAACCATTGCCGCGGCATAAGTCAAGTGGGTTAATTGTGATCGCCCAGCATGTTGGAACAGGCACACGATATCGGTTGGCATTGTCCATAGTTGCAAACAAAGCCGACGTAGGTCAACGCGCGACCTTTCGGATGTGAGCGATGGCCGCTGAGCTACCGATCAGGTCTGGCTCCGGATTGGTAGAATGTTGAACTTTCGTGAGCTTGGTAAAATTCACGCTACTTTGGCGAGTGTTGTGAGTATGGCTGCTAAATGAGTTGCAGCTATAAAACGAAGTGTCCGACTTTTGTAGTAAAGGAATCGTTGGCTAGCGCTAAAAGCACTATGTCGAGTATGGGTACAGCGATAGTCTACACTCCAAAATTATGCCGATGCGCGCCTGGATTTCTGTGAAACTTCCGCTCGAGTCGCGGTAACGGATGCAACGATGGTGTGTGCGAGCCAATCTTCAGTGGTAGATCTACCGGATAGCGCTGATAAATCCGAGTCGGATAAATGTAAGCACAGTAATTGCGACCGGTAGATCCGAAAACAGAGGAGCGTCCATTCAGTACGGCCTCGGGACATGTTACTGCAAGGAACTGCCGAGGTATCATTGGCTCTTGTGCTGTAGTATACAATTTGTTGATCTGTATGTCCAAGGAAGTTGCTATGCATTCGGACAACGCCCCGTGGAAAGGGTGGCCAACATCAGTGATTATTATAGATGCAAGCATATAACAGCTAACATAGCTTGATACAATTCTGTTAACCAGTTTTGCCCGGGATAAGTGCTTCACTGCTCTGGCAATTACTTTGAGGTCCTTATTTACGAGACAAGGAAAAATCACAGGAGGCTAATAGCTCCAGTAGGGTAACAAGCACGCGGTGCTAAAACGCTGGATCAAAAAGCGAGCTACGGAAGAGGACGTGAGACTTGTAACATAGAACGAGAGTCCTCCAAGGTTGACATGGACCTACCCTTGCGCTGACCCTTATTGATGATCAGCCAGAAGTCTTTCGCGCATTCAATTACCTGAGCAGCTATATTAGCGCCCGTGGGATCGAAGATGAGGTTACGAACCGTATAGCAGAAGCCCGATGTTCTTCTGCCGATCCCCGCCACCACGGGCACCGCTGCGACATTACTGTTACCCTGAAGGACAGAGTTTACAGTACAGTCTTCCGCTCAGCCCTTTTATACGGTTTTGGAATTTTGTCAGGTCGACAGATATAAAGAGGCTAGCTACGTTCCACCATCATTGCCTACACACCGCGTGAGCAATGAATGTGTTCGGCTTCGCGTATTTTGTACAAGAAGAGCGAGTGAACTGCTCAGTACCATTGTACCACGCACCAGGCTCTGATGGCTGGATCACGTGTTGCGCATTCTAGCACACCGACTCCCGCGACGTGCGTTGTTTTTGCAGCCGGCGTCTAGGTGGAAGAGGAGGATGGGAGGCCAAGCGATGATTTGGTCGAGAAAAATGAATACCCTCACTTTGGGGTTGTAATCGGTTGCGGTATCCCGGCTGGAGCCCCCAGGACGATGAATACGTTTGGTTGGATATGGTGAAGTGCTGGCCTCAGTGGCATTTGTGTTATCAGTTTCTTTGTTCCTTCCCCCCTCCTTTGGATTCCCTCTCCAATCATGATCTCATAGCGAATGCACAATGTGATATTCAGCAATATATTACTCGAATTTTTTGCGGTCAGCAATTTTTAGTATCTCATCTCTTTTGTATTGCAGCACATTAGCTGAGGTGTGTTTCTCACTCTGTTTGATTGCTTGAGTCGCTCATCGCCATCTTTACTTTGCGCTCGTTTCGATCGCAACATGCGATCACTCTGTGTGCTATATCCTCTTCATTCTCCTAGTTAGCAAGGTTCAATGGTGTCGTCTTTTTATAACTAGGCAAACAGGGAACCTTTTGCTACACAGATAAAGTTTCCCTACAACTAGATGTCTTTTGCTGTCAATATGCGGGCTCTCGCAGAAACTTTATTTCGCGCGTTTTATTTTTTTCCATTTCCGGTGTTAACTGGTTGATATTGTTGTAACGCTTCTACTTTACCTCTGCTCTCTACCACTGACAACTTTTGTACGCTTGCTAGCTGCCCTATGAGACTGCGACTGTCTGACTTCTCAGTCACGCGCCACCCCAACCGACGGAATACAGAAGACCAAGACTGGGTAAACAGGGAGTCTATCTACACCATAAGTTAACTGTATTTATAGGTAGCCGAAACATGCCAATTTAGTAGGTCAAGATCGCTCATTTTTGTGCGTCCGGTTTTCAGCCAGTGTGAGTGAGTTCCTCTCCACGGGTTACTCAAATTGACGGTATAGTTCGATTCGTTTTACGCGGACTGGTAATTGCTGGCCGATCAATTCTCAGTCGATACCCAACTTTAGCTCCGCTTACATCTCTATTAGATATCCTCTAACTTACACTTGCCAAAGATTATGTTTACACTATGTCCCACTTTATACGCCTTTTGTTGATTTGCTCTGTTATGTTACGCTGCGGCACATTTACTGTCCATTTTGCGTGTGTATTTTCTTTCATATTCAGTGTTTGCTTTGTGATATCTCCTATGTGGTCGTGCTTGATGTGAATGTTTACAAGATGCCTACCTGTCGAAAAGCCGCCACTTCGATTATACTGGTTCCATGCAACAATTGGTCGTTGCTTGGGGAGACGGGGTGCGCGGTCCTCGAGTCTGCGTAAGGGCAGGGCGACCTTAGCAGTATCCTTAGCCCACGTACGACCAGGAGTGGTTGCGCGGCAGCGAAACGTCGGTACTGCGTACCGGTGTACTGCTGATGTCCCATCCACATGCCTCATTGACTTTTCCTTCGTAGTTACATTGGATATGGGATGTGTAGATCAGAAGATTACGTATTCGAGTCACGTCAGGGTCACCAGCTGTGTAGTGGGAAGGACTGCACAAAAGGCTGACGAAAAGCTCAGTAAGCTACGAAAACAGTTAAGCCAAAGTTTGGTTAATTCTGAATATCCGAAACTAATCGTATGCCTCGTTAAGATACGCATTCCGAGTCAGCGACGATTTCGCTCACCAGACACCGAGCAACAACGCCGGACAATCACGACGAACGCACGCGCAACGAGCCGAAGTGACAATGCGGAACGAAATTCGAAGAAGTATGCATCGGTCCAGCTAATTACAATAACTGTACACTAAATAGTGAAAGATGAAACTAGGAAGTATGATTGAAACGTAGAAGTTTACAAGTGCTACAAATCTGGAGTGGTGCGGCGCAAGCCACCCTCTGCACCTCTGGAGGTCGCAGTAACTTGCATATCCGGAATCGGATCCCATCAGCTATTTGGCTCATATCCAGGGGAAGTACCGGATGAGTGCTACTGAATTTCATCACTAGTTGACTGTAGAGCATGTACCGCCCGCTATGTAATGTCATGTGCATAAATGGTAATCGACTGTCATTGTGTTTATTGCTTACCGATACTACATCTGTTGGTTTATACTACTTGATGATGTGGCCATTTGGTACTGTGTTGAAGAGCGCTAGAATGCTTGTGAAGGGACTGGGTTTTGCCTATCCGCCTTATCTTCCTAAAAGTGAGTGTTTAAACACACTATTGGAAATTATACCATAACGGAATTGGTGACGTTCTTGCATTGGTTCCTTACGCTTGATTGCTCCACCCGACAATTTCACTTTTTCATCTTAATCGTGTTTATTTGCTTATTATCGTCACTGTATTTATTAATTTGCCCATCTGGTACAAAACAATGATGCCCACCATATTTGGGTTTGTGAGTCATGCTCAACCAAAACTGCATTCCAGTTGCTGATAACAAATAATCTTTGTCCCAGTCTGATTGTCAGCACTGCATTTATGTATGCATCTCTCCTCCTTAAAACATTTTTATCGCTTTTCAGTCTTCTGTACGTACTTGTTCTGTTGAGCGTTTGGGTGCTAAACCGCAAAGCCATGTTCTATTTATTTACATCGTTCCTATTCTTCTTCATTGTTGTATTGTTTCTAGAGAACCTACCTCTTGGCTCTTTCAGCTGCTGTCCTTGTCTCTGTTGTCATGCTTCGCGTCCAAATTTTTCCTGACTCTTTTGGATACTAACTTTTACTGCAACGTTGGGACTGACTGCAATCTAAATCCACTGAAACCCCAGCAGTGGATCACTTTATTGTAAGCCACTTACTGCAATGAAGCTGACAGACGCTTGCCGTCGGCTGTATAAGCGTGCAACTATTAATTTTCCTTACATGGACCATTACAAATATGATTATTATCGTGAGCCCGTGCTTAAAGAAAAAGTTTCGGGAAGAGGCGAGAAGGAACCACGTATGTTGTTCAATGAAAAATTTCATCGACTGTCTTGAACCATCTTTCTAGGGGCTGTTTGCGTTGAGGAAATGACCATGATGTTGAGCTGTTTAAAAAACAATGATTTCGACCAGAAACCGTGCACGCAACTGATTGAAGCGTTTCAATCCTGTGTCACATTAGCAGAGGTAGAACAATGGTCCTTTTGTCATACCACTCGTTTTCAGCAAAGGAGGGCCAAAATCAAAGAACTGAAAAAGAGTGGTGTTTTCGAAAACGCAGATGATGTCATGGATTCCCCCAGGAAACGTCTTCCCGCTGCTCACGTGATCAAACTGCTAAAGCGTTTTCCCGAACCGAAATAGAATTAACGCTCCCTCTCCTGTATACATATATTGTTCTTTTGGTTGCTTTAATTTCATACCCGTGAAAATGGTTGGTAGGACCAATTTTGCACCACACAAGTATGGTTTTTTTTACAGTGACTGATCTTATTTTTTTGGTTTACTCATGGACGTGGAGTGGGAATATGTAAATCTGTGCTGCCCCGTCGAAATTTTGTCTGCTGTACACGTGGAAGAATGTTAATTCCCACGCTTTTTCGACACGGTTCAGCTTTACAAAGTCCTGTGCAGATGCGGACTGTTTTCTAAACCTAAGATAGGTAAACTGAGTGTTTATGAATTTTATGTACTCAGATACCGATTTTGCCTCGGTTATCGTCCCTGGCAAACTGTTCCGGTATTCCATCGCTCCGAGCGTACCAGGATGATGAGTTGTTCGGTTTGGATCCCGTGCTGCATATTTTTACCGTTGTGCGCGCACACATGGAGTAGTAGCACGGGGAAATCAACCAGATGTACTTTCCGGTGGTTCATTTTGAGGTCAGCTGTAAACTGACGATAGGACATGGTTTATAGCCCTAGTCTCCTGTCTCGATCTTTTCACGGTAAACCCCATTGACTGGGATTGAGCCTGGTGTGTACACGTTGAATCCGTTCATCCTTTTGCACCCCACCGCTGATAATCAGACACTAAGCGCATGGGACGTAGTCTTGCATCGGTCTTATTATTGAAGAGAAGAGGTAAGTGGTAACCTTTTCAGACCAAGTGCAGAAGATGCGTTTCAGCGCCCAAAGCATGTACACTCCGATTCGGCAAAGCTATTCGTGTTGTTCACCTAATTCATATGGTTGGCGGCATCCGCTTTCGGATTTGCCTGTCACTGTGGCCAGACACATGACGCCTGCGCCTACAGAGGGACCATGGATGGCTTGCGCTGCACCACCCACAGCTCCAACCACACACCCCATATCCAGTGTAAACCCGAAGGAATAAGATCGGGAGGCATGTGGATGGGAGCCACGTTTCATCAACGGAGCCGGCCCACACTCCTTCACAGGCAAACACAAGCACACTGTATTTGGGGAATCAAGCGCACACAAATTGGTGGCTGGACCGTAGTCCGCTCCACATTGAGTGCATGGAACCACTCTTCGAGCCTAGCACGGCCACAAGGACCGTGCACCCTGTCCCCTCCAGCAACGACCGACTGTCTCCTGGAGCCAGTATGGACGAGGTAGTGGGTAATAGACAGGTAGGCAGCTTGTCAACATGCACATCAAGCGCAGCCACACCGGGGATATCAAGCAACAGCCAATCACCTGGAACGACAAGATGAAATAAAACAAATCCTATAATGCATGCAGGTACGGTGGCATAACTCTAAGCTAAATAAGCATATGAAGTAAGTTGGTTAGCAACGAATCCGCGATAAGTAAGAAATGTCCACAAGTTATTTAAAATGCTACAAACGCAACAAAGTTACCGAAGATAGGCGCAATTAGTGTAAGCAACGTTGCCAGTTACTAGAACCTTATTCATGTAGGCAGAACAAAACAAATAAAGTGGAATGAAATTTATCCAACTTGAAAAGACCTAGTTTTAGTGTAAGTTGGTTTAGCCCAACTGTGGTGAAGAAGCATCAAGAATGCAACATCAGCCTCAGCATGGGGCACACCTAATTCATATAATAGCGTGATAATATGCCTAGATCTTGGATGGAAAGTTTTGTGTGGAACGGCTGATCCATCACTACCTTCCCTCAAACTTATTAATAATGACTTGAGTGACTTGATCTGCATACTGAACTCGGTAAACCACACGGAGAACCGGTCGATCATGCGCGTCACAATTATCGCGAGCGTCAATTACCCCTATAACCTCCAGGTTTTTCACAGACAAAGCGACCGAAGAAGCTGACGTACTTCGTTGTTGGGGATGAAAAACCAAATGGGTCCCAGCACTGTTCTGTGGGATACACTTCTTAGTGGAGGGATACTATCCGGTTAGAGTGTCTTCAACCTGTACACCAAGCTTTTTTCCAATAAGGAAAGTGCAAATTTACTGGCCTCTCTTTGTATCGTCATCTAGTTATATTCCTGACGAACAAGTTGTCGCCCATTCTCGTTTAACGTACGCTGAATTTCCTCAAGAATAGGGGTCAAGTAGGATTTTCACCAGGTTAACGCTGTATGGCTCTTTTTCTTTCAAATAAGATGCTAGATCGGCGTCGACTATACCGCAGTTTGACATTGGTCATGTTCTTTACGTTCGGCTGGGTCAATCGCTCCACCATATTCTATATACTTAAAAATTCGTTACAGTGAATTATGCAAGCGTCTTATTGGCTTCATACTCCCAACACAATGAATCGCATCGGGGTCTATGACGAATTACCAGTTCCTGTTTCCAGTTATAAACTTAACCGGGTGGTGTTCCTTCACTCTCTCAGCTAGAGGCCTTGTCATACGACCAATATATTCCGCACCACAGGTGCATGAAAATGAGTAGATACACATTGAGTTGTTGTGGACAGGCCTCTTATCCTTCCAGCTTAGTCTCACTAACGGAGTGCTAGTGAACTGGATTTGCACCTGCGCTACTGGATAGGTGAGTCTGAGTGCAAACTGATGACGAGATAGAAGTTTCGTCATAACCTAGCACTTGTATGGCAGCTGTAGGACGATTGGCTTACGTTCTACTGTCAAAACTACAGGCTGCTTTTTCTTATGTTCCATATTGCTTCTGATGTAGCTCTCCGGATAGCCGTTCTTTTTTAACATTAAGCGAATGCACTCCAATTCCTTCGGAAGCGAGTCGTTCGAGCAAACACGTTCAGCTCGGCTCACTAGGATATTTATCAAGTTCCTTGTAAGCCTAAGTGGCAAAAATCTGTGGAAGCTTGTACTGCCAGTTTCAAGTACTTTTTCTATAGATGCAACGCCGTAGCGCACCCCCATCAAGTCATTTCATTGCGAAATCGAGGAGATGAAAGCGACTGTTTCCCCCAACTTCTCAGGTGAATTTTATGGCTGGATGGCCTTGCTTGAACGTGTTTGTTAGTTCTTCGAGACGATTGAAACAAAACAAAATGTCGTTTACGTAACCGCAATATAAACCGAGACTTGAGGTCGTTGGCTTGAGCTTTCCCTGTTTCAGCAAGCCCATGAAGACATCGGCGATGAACGGACCCAGTGGGGGGGACCCATCGCGACTCCATCGCACTGCCGGTATAATTCGCCATTGAATAGAAACTGAACATTGAACGCGCATCTGAGCAATAATTCCTTTAGGTTCACCGTAATTATACCAACGTTAATATGGTTTACATCGACATGTTCATAGATTTAATTTATAGTCACAACCAATGGTACGTTGGTGAGGAGAGAAGTAACGTCGATGGGGCACATGGTTAGATTAGAAAAATTTACATCAAGCATGATATACACAACTCAAACCTATCCCTCACACTGCTCACAACAATCCGCTCTTGAATAGGCATAAGAATCAAAACCATCCACCGAACAATCGAGTGATATGGAGAGTTATTCACATCCAAGACGGGACAAAGGGGGTCGTTAGGCTTGTGTGTCGTTGGAAGCCCATAGAGCCCTGGAATTTTCGTTCCTAGTGGCCGAAATTGTTCATAACTGGCTTTCTTGATATAACCATCGTCTCCAAGCTTTTTAAGACAGTTGCAAAGTTGGGTTTCAATCTGTTTAGCTTTGTCTTTCTCACTTATGGCCTCCAGAAACTTGCTTTCCTCTACCAGTATTTCTTTTATTTTGCTCAGACAGTCCACTCTCTCCATGCTAACAATGCATGCGCACTTATCTAGCCGAGAGAGTAACCAACCCGTTAAGAGCTTCACGATGTCCTTGTTTCACCGGAGTGTTATATACTATCCTCGCACGTCGGTACTGGTAGCATGCATGCACTAGAAACGATTTAAACTCTTCCGCATGCATTTCAGATCAAGGAATCAGTTGGGAGGTCTGGATGCACACGTTTTCAAGCTAGGCCACTATTGTTAGTCTATTAGCCTTCCTAGTAGGAAAACAGAATTTAGGGCCTAATGATAAGACCACCATTGTAAAGCGATCTAGGGTCAGGTATGACAAGTTTTGGATATATCTTTCTCATTCGACCGGAAACGATGTTGAGGGATTCTCTTCTTTCAGCGTGTTCGTGAGCTGATGCCGTAATCTGGATTTTTGTTTTGTGCTTATTTCCTTAATTGTTTTCTCTAGCTCCGATAGGTCTCTTGATGACTGTCCATTGCGCTACACGACTGACTCAGGGCACGTTTAAGCTCGTCCCTCTTGATACTAGTGGCGTATAACTGGTTCAGTGCTGAGCTTTTCAGACAATTGCTATCCGGCCTGATGCGTGAACGACGAAGAGATTTCCAGCAGTTCGTCGGATAAATGTTGCTTTCTATGCAGTTAGCGAAAAAATCGAGACATATATCCGCCTTCGCTATCGTGGTTCTGAATCCCAAATATCCGATGAGCAATTTTAACACAGGAGGATCTAAGCGGTGTTTTATGGCTTTAAAATATCCCATAGTATGATCAGATGTTAGGGTAAGCGAACATGACGCCATCACCGCAGGTCATTTGTGTACATTATCAGTCAACACGATAATAGCTGACTCTGTCTAGTTCTACGATTACGTCGACTAACCCGTTTGCTATCGGCCGATATGCAGCTGTTCTAGTTCTCTTAACTCCGAGGAAGTTACTTAACTCACTAGATTTTCGACTGGCATTTAGCTCCGCGATCTGTCGTAAGCACTGATGATACACCATAGTGAGCTATCCATTGAGCCACAAAATTGTGTGCTACCGTCTCAGCAGCAATGTCCGCAATAGGTAATGCAACTAGCCAACGAGTGAAATGGTCGATGTGGTTAAGCAGATACCTATAACCCCTTGATGATAACAGTGGACCGACGGTATCGATATGCACATGCTTAAACGAGCGACAGGAGGTGCGAAAAT